GTTGCGGGCGCCCGGGAGGCCCCGACTTCCGCCCCGCTGGCGGAGGAGGCGGAGGGCGCTGGGATCCCTGCGGGTCCGCGGCCCGCGAACCCTGCGCGGAGTGGCCTCCTTCGCGGCCTCCCCTCCCCCGCGCCGTCCTGCCCTCCTGGGGCCGGGGGAGGGGAGGCCGTGGGGGCTGGGCCGCCGGTGCGGAGGCGAATGAATGGGGGGGGACGTGTGTGGAGGGGGTGGGACGACACAGGTGTCCCGGGGGGGAGGAGTCGGGAGGAAGGCGAGGAGGCCGCCCGGGCGGGGTTGTCGAGGTGGGGGACCCGGCGGCGGTGCGGGGCAGCGGGTGCGAGGCGGCAGCGGAGAGAGGATGGGGAGGCCCGGGCGCGGAGGGGAGGGGGCTCTGCGGAGACTGGACCGGGGCGCGCCAGGGTGGCGGTGGTGGCTCTCTGTATAATGGGCAAGTGGCGAAGACGTAACTCGCCGAAATGGGGATGGTAGGTGGGGCCGAGAGGACAAAATACATCCTCTGACAGGCAAGTTCTGCCATGGCTCTTAGGAACTACTACGGTGATGGCTCGGCTTAAAGGGATAGTCAGCAGTCGTGACCTTGCTCGGGCGAAGGGAATTGAGCGACAGACAAAGCTTAGTTACAGAAGCCACAGTGTGAGGGAGGCACTCCAGTCTCTCCTGGGGTGCAGGGACGGTGATGGTAGAGGGTGTTCTGCAGAGGCTGTTGAGGCGAACGTAAAGCTGGGCTTCACAAGGAGGGGGCGGGGATAATGGCCATGGGCTCTGGAATTACATGAAATTATGAAGAATTTTGCATTGAGAATCTTCTTTGAAAGTGGTCCATATTTGTTGTGATGTTATCTCCCCCAAGGTTCACAGGGGCCATCCAAGTAGGGTAGACCCGGGAATTTTTTTTTTTTTTGTAGACCCGGGAATTTTGAGTTCAAAAGTGGGTGAATCTTGCAGAAAGGATAAAGATGATCCTTTAAATGTATTTCACTGTTAACTATCACTGTTAACTAAAAACCTTTATTATTTAATGCTCGAGTTCGTAATTTTGGTGAACTTTTGTTGAGCATCACTTGGCTTCTGATGTATCCTTATGTTTTAGAAAAGTGTGGTGTACCCTTGAAATCAAAATTGTGAAGAGCAAGCAGAATAATAGTAACATTGTAGGAGAAAAGATTGCAACATTTGTTCAGCAGGATATTTCTTTCCCATTCTTGCTTTCTTAAAACGATTCACATACACTGTTGTGAAAACCCAGGTTTACTCTGCTTCTCATTTGTTTTGTAATATGGCAAGTTTTTCATTGTTCAGTTTGGCTATTTTGTACTTGTTGTTGAACCCAAAACCTTCCCTGAATGACAACCCCAGCTCTTTAAAACATTCTTTCTTTTTCTTTATTCTTTTTTTATTTTTGAATTTTGAGAACAGATCTGGCAAGTTGCTGAATTGCCCAGGCTGAGCTGGAATTTGTAATCTTCCTGCCTCAGCCTGGAGTGGTGGGATTACAGGCATAGGACACCTTGTCTGACTCACTTTGTCTATATTTTATTGCAAACCAGAGATATCAAGTGTCACTTGAATTGTAGATTAACTTCATTTTGCAGTAGGCCTGTATAAAATTTGTGAAGCAGTGATGCCATCCTGGCAGTGGGGGGAGGGTGTGTGCTTTCTTTCCCCCTGCTATGATTTCAACTCTAGTTACCACTGCCACATTTCATTAAATGGCAGTGTAATATGAAATCTACTTCTAAGTGATGATTAGTTGGTAGGATATGGTGCATACTTCTTCACAAGTCATTCCATTTTTTTTATATAAATCAGTGTTTTGTAATTTCAGAAATGTTGCCGCATTATCCAAGTATGTAATGTTCATTTCAAATAACATGCCTTGTAATTTAAATTTTTTGTTTTCAGTATTGGAGATTGAACCCAGGTCCTTTGCACTGAGATGCCCTTTTTAAAATTGGAGACAGAGTCTCTATAGTTGCCCGGGTTGGAATCAAACTTATGATCTTAGTGCCTTAGGCTCCCAGTGTGCTGGGAGTGCAGCCATGGGTCACAGTGTCCAGCTGTAATTTTAAAATTTTAATTTTTTTGGGAATAATTTAACTATACAAAAAAATTGCAAGAATAAGAACAATGCCAAGAACATCCTTGTAACATCAATTTACCCATTTATTATTTTCTTTTTCCCATTTACAATTTATTTCAGTCACACAGAAAATGTTTGTTACCCAGACCCTTTAAGGGTAATGTAAATATGTTATGGTCCTTTACTCCTAAATACTTAAACCTTAACAGAAAACCTTAACAATTTTACATTTTGTCATACTTGTCTTGTCCAGAATGAAATTCTACAAATAGTGGCTTCATCATCTTTTCAATAAAGAATAGAAACATATCTAAGGTAGTAATCAAGCTTTAAACATAGAAAGTGAGGCTGAGATGTATTCTTGCTTAGGTTCTAGAATATGTAGTTGGTCAAAATGTTTGTTTTCTGTGTATCCAACCTCTTAACTTCTGTTATTATTTCCTTTCCTTTTGTACTCTTTTTGAGCGCTGGGTGTTGATTATAGAGAGGAGAAAATCTAGGTATGGCAAAGTTGAATTGTCTGTTTATGCTAGACTGCATAGAGATCAGTATGTAGTGTGCACGTATGATTAATTGCATATAGATACATTTGTGCTCTCTGAGGTACTCAAGAAAATACTGGATGAATATTTAGTATTCATAATAATTGCAGCACATTTATGTATGTATCATTGTTTGATTTTTTATTAAGTCCCCACAATTCTATATAGCTGCCTTGTCATCACGTTGTCCTAGAGGTTGAACCTTTGATTTTAGTACAGGAGAAATTTTAAGAAGGCACGTGGTGAGAAGACTTTGAAACTGTCTGAACTGTGTTTAATCCTAGCAATGTGACTATGGGCAAATAGCCCAACCTGTAGGAAAATGAGGATAAGATTTACCTCCTAAAAGATTGAGGATTAAATGAGTTCACGTGAATATGTCAAAATGTCACTAGGCATATAAAATTGGTGTCTGAAAAATCTATTTCCTTTTGTCTTGGCTGGTGGTGTGTGGAGTTTTTCAGTGGAGTAGCTTGTAGAGTAACACTTATATGTACAGTATTTAGAATCTGTCATAGGCTCTTAGATGATACTGAAGTTTATAATTTTATTTTCCTTATTTTAATGCATTTTTTTTGGATACCAATTTTAAAAGTTAAAATGAAAAACCTTTTTAATAACCTTATGGATTTTTTAGGGTATGGTACTTTGAGCTGGTATTTAGTTTGGTGATAGTTTGTAGTCTAAGAATGAGAATAGTTAGTAAATGCTTTCATTTTTCATATTGTCAAATATGTGCTTATATAAAAAGTTTATAGATTTTTAAAAATTATAGTGTCATTCTATAAAGCAGTTTTTATTGAGGGTTATACAGATTTAATTTTGTATAGCTTTTAATTTATCAGATGGGCACAATGCAATTCGTTTAAAGGAGTGTGTTGTATCAGCAAATAGAGGTTGAATCTTTAATTCTTCATAGATAGTAAGTTCCCCAGTTTGTAATGCTCTCGCATCCACTGACCCACCTGTTTTTTTTCTGTTTGTTTGTTTGTTTGTTTGGTAGCTTGGAGTCTGGAACTGCATGTTCTAAAGTGCCTGATTGGATATCACTGTAGGACATTTTTGAAGCATGTGAGTAGGTTTCTCCAAAAGTGCTTAGTTGTAATTGGATTAAATTGTAGCTGGAATTTTTTTTTTATTTTTATTTTTGAGACAGGGTCTTGCTATGTAGTTCAGGCTGGCCTTGAACTCACTGTGTAGTATAGACTGGCCTCAAAACTTGCAGTGATCCTCCTGGCTCAGCTGGTATTACAGGTGTGTGTCACAACGCCTGACTCTGGAAACTTTTTGACAGAGAGGGGGAGGTGGATATTATAAAACAACAGATAGTATAAAACTGCTCTGCATCTTCTTGATGTGTCTTGATATTTTATCAAGTTGTTTAAAATATAGGACAATTTGGCACTGTGCCTACCTAGCAAGAGCAAGGTCCTAAGTTTGATCCCTGGTACCAAAAACAAACAAACAAACAAAAAATATATACACACATATATATATGTGTGGGACAATGAACTGGGTATATATATATATTTTTGTTGTTGTTGTTGTTGTCTTTTTTTGGGGTTTTTTTTGGTACTGGGGATCAAACTTCGGTCCTTGTGCTTGTGAGGCAGGCGGTGGAACCACTGAGCTAAATCCTTGGCTTTGAACTGGGTATGTTTTTATTATTTATTTATTTATTTATTTATTTATTTTTTTGTGGGTATATTTTTAAAGAAGAAATGAAGTCTTAAAGACATGTGGCATTGTAGTAGGCATATTGAATAGTCCATGGTATAGATATGAATTACATTTTTTTATGAATTACAGTTTTATGTTGATGTAATAACGTCTTTGATGAAAAAGAATAACTTTAGAATATTATCTGCTTACCTTTACTGTGCTACTGTACACAGACTAGTTTCATATGTTTTGGCTTATTTATGTAACCTCATAATTGTGAAGGAAAAGCTTATAATTATAGTTTTTTTGTTTTGTTTTTTGTTTTTTCCAGTACTGGGAATTGAATCCAGGGCCTTTGCATGGAGCTACATCCCTAGTTCTTTTATTTTTTAAAGACAGTCTCACTAAGTTGTATAGGCTTGGCTTGAACTTATGATCATCTTCTTTCAGCCTCTAAGAGTGCTAGGATTATAGGCGTGCACCAACATTCCTGGCTACAATTGTCAATTTTAAGCAAATAGGTATTTTTATTTTTCTTATTTCATAAAATACCTTTTGTATATTAGAAGATTAGAACTTGAAAAAATGTCCCTCAATATTTTACTGTGCTTAGTTCTTGGAGTCATTAACCTATATTACCAAACTGTAATACTGAAGAAATATATACATATTTGAGGTTTAGAGGTTTATACTAAAAAAAAAGCATAATGAGTTTCTCAGAGTTGGTGTATGCTTAATAAATAATGCTAAATTTAGAAAAATAAAGGACACTAAATTACTAAGATGTTTTTAGTAGCTTATGTACAACTTACCTTCCAAATGAATTATTTTCAATTAAAGAAAGAGAAAATTGATTTAGTTGGTGTTTTTAGTTATAGCATATTTTAGCACCAGTTAATGAATGTACACTTTTTAATGACCTCTACTTTCGAATGAAAAATGTAAATGTAAGTTTTATAATTTACCACATTCAGTTTCTAACTTGTTTGCTCATGTTGAACAGGGAATTTATTGCAGGTTAATTAATACTTAAAGTACCATGAGAGTATTGAATTTTAGAGTTGAATTGGATTATCTTATTTCATAACAGATGGCCTCAGAATTTAAGAGCTTATAACAACAAACATTATCTTATAGTTTCTGTGGGTTAGAAATCAGGGTGCACTTAGCTGTCTGTGGCTTGGGGTTACTTAGACTGCAATGAAACTGGTTGGGGCCGCAGTTGCATCCAAAAGCTTGACTGGTGGAAGACTTACTTCCAAATTCATTCTTGTGGCTCTTGGCAGGATTCAGTTCCTTGGGGCTCTTGGACAGGAGACTTCACTTTTTGCTGGCTCTTGGCCAGAGGCTTCTCTCAGTTCTTTGCATATGTGGACTTTTCCAAAAAGGCAGATCAAAATATGGCATCTGTCTTCTTTTAGAGCAAACATGAGGTTGAAAGAAGGTGAAATCTAAGACTTTTCATAGCCTAATCTTGGAAGTATTATCTCATTATTTGTTCTGTATTCTGTTAGTTAGAGGCTGTGTACTACAAGTAGTTTAACTTATTGTTTGTTTATTTTGGTGCAGTCTCACTGAGTTGCTGAGTTGCCCAGGCTGGGCTCAAACTTGGTGATCCTCCTCCCTCAGCCTCCTAGAATGCTGCGATTACAGGCATATGTCAGTGCATCTGGATTGAAAAACAGAAAAAAAAGAAAGCAAAGTTAACACAAATTGATTTGACCAAGGGTTAAAAGGTAGTTTCCTGAAGAATTTAGACTAAACTCAAATTTACCAGTACCCAGGTCTTGTGCTCTTTCTACAGCATCTGTTGCTTTAGAAAAGCAATAAAAATTAATACAGGTGCTGAGGACGCTAGTGTGAGAAGTATTGAAAGTTTTCAAAATCTTTCTGAATTGACTGTCATCATGAGAAAATGGTAGCCCAAATACATATGTGTCACTGTGTGTACATCTATAGAACCTTTGCTTCTGAGGGAAAGTTCAGTATTAAGATTTTGTAGCATCAAAATTTCTACCCAGGTGGTTGGATTTAGCCCTTTTGCTGTGCTGTTGGTTGGTAGATAATTTTTTTTTTTTTTTGGTACAGGGGATCGAAAGCAGGTCCTTGTGCTTACGTAGCAGGCGGCGAAACACTGCGCTAAATCCCCGGCCCGGTTGGTCGGTAATTTTTAAGGGGGAGGTTCTTCTACATAATTTATATTTTATGTAAAACTCTCCCATTTTAAGAGCTTATGATTTGTTTGTATATGAATTTGGGGTTTACTTCTCTGCTTTGGCATCCATTTTCTTTACTTCATTAAGTATAGAAGAAAGTTACCACATGAAAAGAAATGTAACCAAAGGGAGGATTTCAGGCCTAGAAGGAAGAAAAGCCAGATATAGCAATTGGATTGTATCATGACAGTGACTATATTCTTTTTTAAAGAAAATTTTATGTGAAATTTTAACATGCATAGTATTTGTTTTTTTTTTTGGTAGTGGGAATCAAACTTGGGACCTTACGCTTGGGAGGCAGACAGCAGAACTACTGAGCTAAATCCCCGGCCCCGTATAGTATTTTTATACTGATAATAGGAACAAACAAACAAAAACAATAGAAAAAGAATGTATCTAACAAGGTAATCAGACTATTTATGCTTTTCCAGAATACCGTGTATTCCATCTTCTTTAGATTTAGTTTATCATAAATTGATGGGAACAGAACAATTTAAAAACTGGCTGGGGCGAAGGGTAAATACATTAAATTTTATTCTGAGACTTTTAGATTTGTTAAGAGCCTCCCTTTTTCTGGGATTTTTTTAGAACTCTAGAACTGGAAGGGACTTTGTTTGACAATCTAAAGCTACACTGTCCAGTAGCCACATGTATTTATTTAAATTTAAATCAGCATTCAAGAAAATGAAACATTTTTCTTGATTGCATTTCACATGCTTAGCAGTCACATGTAGCTAGTGTCTGCTTGTTTAGACAGCATATGTATAGAACATTTTCATCATCATACAAAGTTGTATGACTTATCTGGATCAACTCCATTGTACATTTGACTTTGATCAAGGGCATGTATTAAAATGCTAGTCATTGAGGTTACCACCTAAATTGAATTTTATTTCTTCATTTTCATTTTCCAGTTTTTGGAGCCGTGAGGGATACAGAAGTTTGATCAATATTGTCTTAACATGCTTCAAATAAATCAGGTGAGTATGGATTAAGGCATGTCCTACTTAAAGAAATTGTGGAACATTGTAACTCAGCTCTTCTATACCTGTAATGTGGTCACTGCTTAGTAGACTGATTACATACTTTGTAATCTTTGTTGGAGACTGTGCAGGGCAAGTTGTTTAAGGAAATAGTTGTAGTCCTGAAAGTTGATAATTTCTGAGTATACAGAGCAAAAGATCTTTCTGCTCTTCTTGATGTCACATCCGTCCAAGACTTGGTGTGTTCAGAATGCTTATCATGAAGTAGTTTCTGTAGCAGGCAGTTCTGCAGACTCAAAGCATTTCTATCTCGTGAAGTACATAGTTGTATCCATGTGTTAAAATAAGATTCTTTTTTCTGAAAAGGCTAGAAGGAAATGCTCTGCTAGTAAACTACTATATAGTGTATAATACCTTAGACTCACTGGGAGAAGTATTTTTCTTAGGTCTTGGCATTTCTTCAAGAACATTATACATTTTATATCTTCTGAACAAGTAGAACATTGTGTTGTAAGTATAACATTACATAATACTTTATTTCTTTTGTTTGCAAGGAGAGGGAAGGGGTGTAATTAAATTTTTCTGTGGCTTGAGAAAGTATTCTGGATTCTTTTCTACCCATATAATCTCAGTCATCTTGCATAAGAAGTCTTTGGTTCCTGTATATTGAATAACCATCTCTAAGCCAAAGACTTTTAAATTTATACCTGGTCTAGGCCTCTTTTCTTTTTTTTTTGGTATCAGGGATCGAACTCGGGACCTTGCACTTGTGAGGCAGGCAGTGGAACCACTGAGTTAAATCCCTGGAGCAAGGCTTCTTTTCTGAGCTCCATACTCTTCCAATTTTAGTATATGTGCTGCTGAAGTGAGCACTGAGCTCCAGACTCTTGTTTTTTTTTTTTTGGTACTGGGGATCGAACTTGGGTCCTTGTGCTTGCGCAGCAGGCGGAGAAACCACTGAGCTAAATCCCCAGCCCTGAGCTCCAGACTATTAGTCCAACTGTCAACTTGATCTCTTAACTTGGGTGTCTACACATCTCCGATTTGATGTGTGTCTCAGAAATAACCTAAATGCTTCAGTTATACTGGTCTCTTTCAGTTCCTAGATTGGATAAGATCATGCTGGCTTCAGGGACTTTGCACAGACCACCTCTGTCTGGAGTCTCCAAACAAGGTTACTTGACTCTAGGCCTAATATAAACTCTCCTAGCACCCTGCCCTGTTATTTAGTGGCATGATAACATTTACAGTTATACTATTATATATATAAAAACATATATAATGAAACATACATATATATATATATATAAAATATAAATATATGTATATGTATGTGTGTGGTCCTAGGATTGAACCCAGGGGTGCTGTATCTCCAACCTTTTAAAGTTCTTTTTTTTTTTTTTGGGTACTGGGGATCAAACTTGGGTCCTTGCGCTTGCGCAGCGGGTGGTGAAACCACTGAGCTAAATCCCTGCCCCAACCTTTTAAAATTTTTAAAAATAATTTTCAGATGGGCTGGGCATGGCAAATGCCTGTAATTCTAGCACTCAATAGGCTGAGGCAGGAGGAGCACTGCAGGTTTGAGCCCAATCTGGGCTACATAGTGAGTTCAAGGCCAGCATGCACTGCAAATGAGATCCTGTCAAGAAAAAAACAAACAATTTTTTTTTTTGGTAGGGTGGATTGAACTTGGGACCTTGTGCTTGTGAGAAAAAAATTTTTTTGAGATGGGGTTTTGTTTTACCCAGGGTAGCCTTGAATTTTGTGATCCTTTTGCCTCAGCATCCTGAGTAGCAGGATTACAGGTGTGCATTACCGTGTCTGGCCATATTTTTTTTTCTTGTCATTATTTCCCACATAATACAGTGTAAGGACATAGCATTTACAATACATGGCATTTATGTTGTGTTAGGTATTATAAGTCATATAGAAATGAAAGTATATAGGAGGATTACATAGATTATTGTAAATACTATGACACTTCATATAATCTTGAGCATCCATAGATTTTTGGTATCTGAGGAACATCTTGGAACCAACCCCCCATTGATATGAAGGGACGACTGTATTTAATGTCTCTTTCCCTTTCTAGAGAGTATGTTTCATGAAGACAATAACTTTGCTGTCTCTTACAGACTTAGGTCCTAGAATAATGTAAGTACAGTGGCATCACAGTTCACAAACTTAATTTGTTTTATGACTTTGGAAAAGATGGCCACATTTGTGTTTGTGTGAGAAAGATGGCCGTGGTCATGTTTGTCACTGAAAGCAGAATTTGCAAACAAAAACAAAATATTGCCAAATGCTTCTGTTTGTGAACTAAATTGTTTGCAAACAAAAGCATTCGTGAACCAAGGTATCACTGTAATTTTTATATATTTGCTGGATGAATAGATGAATGGTGCTAGGGTTATCAGTAAAGCAAAGAGGTTTCCCATTTTTTCAACAGTAACCACATAATAGTGTTGTCAGTTGTGGTACTTTTTTTTTTTTTTT